CTAAATTCCCATTAATTTCCATAATTCCCATTATTTCCATGGAAAGTTTCCAATATGGAATATTTCCAAAATTCCCAAGCTTAACTTACCATGGAAATTTACCGGAAACTTTCCGGAAATTTACCGGAAACTTTCCGGAAATTTACCGGAAACTTTCCGGAAATTTACCGGAAATTTTCCGCCCCTTTGCAACCCTACTAGGCAGTAGGACTCTATGGATGCCAGCCTTTCTTTATAACTCAGGGGAAATAATATTTCACTTCACAATCTTAATAAGTGAACACATAATTTATTAGACGGACAGGAGCGGCTTTATTTAAGCACAGAACAGACACTCTGCTCTCATCGTATGAAGTACCTCAACAGGACATTTCTTTCCTTTTTCTGATTTTTTGTCACACTGATTTATGAATGCAACCTTGATGACAGATGAGAAAAGAAACACAACTGCTTTAAAACAGAAGATGCATTAATCCCCCCTCCCCACAATAACAGGCAACAATTTATGTAGGAAGAGAAAATTGTGTTTATTAGCACTTTCATACCAGGGCTGGTGCCCGTGCTGAGCCTAAATTTCGGCCCGGTCGTTGCATTCACACCAAAAATAACGGCAGTGCCAGACCAATATATCCAGGCCGGAGCTCATTTTTCTGGCCCCGAAACACTGCTGGGCCCAAACTAGGAGTGTGTGACGTCAGGAGGTGGGATAGAGTTGTCAGAGCGGAAAGCAAAAGTTTATGAAGCAATGCAGAGTGAATTGGGGAAGGCAGTGTAACGAAGTCGTGGACAAGATTTTTTTTTTTTTTTTTTATGAAAAAGAATACAGAAAGTTGAAAAGAGAGCTAAATGGCTGCCTTAAAAACAAATATCATGGACTCCATGTTTGGACACACCTCATATCCGGGTGACTGGAGCATTGAACTCTGTGACTGCTCTGGAGGAATTGGGTACGTTGTTATTGTTGTGTATATTAGTAATGTGACTATGAACTTAGCTAACTTATAAGTTACCATTAGAATTTGACATCAGATTTTATGTGTTTAGTGTGCTTGTTTTAACACAGGTAAAGGGAATGCAGATGGACAGAAGCATCACTTTTTATATTTATTCCATGTAAAAGATTTACATATTTCTTGATTATTTGTATTTTTGTAAAATAAAAGTTTACCAAAATGTTTCGTTCTTTTCTTGTCTTTACTCTCCCTATTAAAATAGTCCATTAATGCACATTGCGAAGTACAGTTCCTTCAGTGTTCCTTACTTTTTTATGTGCATTTGGGCTGATTTGACAAGAAATTACTATGCATTTTAACCTTTATATACTAATTCGTACTTCATTTGCGGTATAAAGGTTAAAATACATGGTAATTTCTTGTAATTGCAGTGCAAATGCACATAAGTACGCATTTGTGCTGTTACAACAATCGAAAGTCGCATGTATTGCTTTTAAAGGTGAATGCATACATGCGTGACAGTGATGCGCATCCACGTATTAACATGTATGACTCGCAGGTCTTCCATGAATGCATCTCCGATTGCGACTCGCTTTTTAACCGGAACACACCAACGGTAGTTTGTGTTTGACCACTGTGCAAGTGCAGGAATAAGTAATTGGCAGATGTGACAGAAATTTTGAATCAACCGTGTTGGGAACAATAACAAATAAAGGTAAAAATAATTTAAGCATTTGCAATAAATTCAAAAATGTCTTGCGTTCATCGCATCTCGCACGGTCCTCCATTTTTGTCGTCACTTCCGAAACAGTACCCCTCCCACACACACACTGACGTTATCGTTATACCCTTTCGGCACCTAATGCAGCGTGAGCTCCAGCTCACATCTGGCAAAGCACTGGCACCAGCACCAGCTCCGAACAGGGCTTGGTGTGAAGGACATATATGTGGCCTGTCTAGATGAGGGGCAAGAATGACACAGAGTAACACATAGGACATGGCCTCCCTTGGCTGATCTGGTCAGAGTAACACAGAGGACAGGGCCTCGCTCTCCCTGGCTGATCTGGTCAGAGTAACACGGAGGACAGGGCCTCGCTCTCCTTGGCTGATTTGATTAGTGTCCAGGCAGAAGCAAGAGCACACAACAAATCAGCAGCAAAGAAGCAACACCTTTAACTCACCCCTTGAGGAAAACCTACGGCTGCTAGGAAAAAGTGGGGAGAGTGGTCGATTTTTATAGGTATGGGGAGAGAAAAAAAGCTGAGGTGTGAATGAGCAGTATGTAAAGTATGTGTAAAACCTGTCACCCCTATCCCCAGTCATACATACAGATATGTAAGCAAGCATGAAGCATTGGGTTATCATACACCTGTGTTTCCCCAGACACGTTCCTTTTTTTGGGCCCCTATTCTGGCTTCCAATTGGTTTTTCAAGAATATTCAATATACAGTATGGCAGCCACTCGGTATCATCACACAGCATTTGCAAGGCTTGTGCACGTTTACTTTAAAAATTAAATGATATGCACATTTCTACGTGTCACGCTGCTCACGAGTGATGTCACTTAAACATTTTATATTTGTGACATTTAGTGAACGACAGAGTGTCCTCTTTTTCGTCTCACCAAATATGGCAACCCTAATCTAACATATATCTAATATTCACTCTACTCACCTTGCTAGCGATTTCCATCAAAATAAGGCTGTTTGCTAGGGCTTGATATAGTCAGCGGCTAAAATAAGCTGCTTTTCAAATTCTGCGAGTTGGGTTTCACAAGTTCTTCCTTGATACATAACCTGCAAAATTAGTGCTTATCATTGGGGAGGACTAAGTGACACTGTTGCACTTCTGATTTGGAAATCAGCTGCACCTCCTAGATGTCTTTTTTCAGCAGGCCTGAAGTTCTCTATAGGGCACAGCTATTCATACCAGTGCTTCCCCTACCATTATATTAACCCCCCCCCCCCCCATGGAACCTCCCACCCCCCCCCTTGAAGTGAAGTTAATTTTATTTAATTTTATTTTCTATACAGTCATTGACAAAAGTCTTTTCACATAAATACTATGTAACTTAAAAGGCATATAACTTTATTTCTATTCAATCAATTGTTACAATAAAAGGATCAATTTAATGCCAAGGGATTTCACATTAATAACTGGGTGCAAAATGAAACAGTCAAAAAGTGTCCTGATGTTCACAGCTTCCATAACACCTGTTTTTGCAAGGACAAAAGTCTTGTCATGTCTTTTAATGATTCAACCAATCACAGATTAGAGGTTCACCTGTGACAAATACTGTAATTAACATAATCCCAGGTGTGTATAAAAAGAACCCCAGCACACCAGGCCTTCACTTGAAGTGCAACCTGTCTTCTGACAATATGCCAAAGGCTCAACGACAGACCAAAGTGCTGATCATCAAAAACTTGAAGACCAAGTCTGCTGCTGAGGAGGCAGACATCGTTAATGTATCCAAACATCAAGTGGAGAGGATTAAAAAAAATATATGAAGAAACTGGTGATGTTCATGACAAGCCCAGGTCAGGCAGACC